CCATCCAAAACTGCCTCCAAAGGAAGGCTTTGGGTACAAGTGTACTCCCCAGCGGAGCCTTTACGCAGCCCCACATGCAATTGGACCCTCCGGGTTCGATTTTTCCGAGCAACCCTAAATATATCCCTAGCCATCATCGGAGACGAGTGAAAAATCAGGCCCCAGGAAAGGCGTTGCGAGCCCCTTTGGACCATCCAAAAGTGTCACCAAAGGAAGGCTTTGGGTACAAGTGAACTCCCCAGGGGAGCCTTTACGCAGCCCCACATGCAACTGGACCCTCCGGGTTCGCTGTTTCCGAGCATCCCTAAACGCAGCCCTAGCCGTCATCGGAGACGCCCACCCTAACCCTAACCCTAACCCTAACCATAAACCTAACCCCCTAACTCTAACCCTAACCCTAACCCTAACCCTAACCCTAACCCTTACCCTAACCCTAACCCTAACCCTAACCCCCTGGCAACCGCACCCCGCACACTTGGTTCCCCCCTCATTTTGTTTCCCCCCCACCCTTGGGGTCCCCGCAAGCCCCATGGACCCTCCCCCCTTGGTGCCCCCCCCCCATTTTGTCCCCCCTGCCGTCCTACCCGTGCGCGCAGCAGCCGCTCGCGCTCCGCCAGCACCTCCCGCACCCGACGCTGCATCTCGGCCAGGTGGAGGCAGGCGCTGGGAGGGGGGAAATAAATTGGGGGGGGTCAATTTGGGGGGGGGCTGGGGGCATTTGGGGGGCTGGGGGCGCATTTAGGGGGCGGAGGGGACTGGTTCTCACCTATAGGACTCGGCGTCGAGCCCCCCCGGGGGCAGCTGCAGGGCCAGGATGCCTGAGGGGGTGCGGGGGGGGGCATGTCAGCACACCCCAGACCAAAACCCCAAAACCGCTGCCGCTGACCCCAAAACCGCCGCCGTTGACCCCAAGGTGGCCGCTGGTGACGCCGGTAGGGCCACCGGGCGCCCCACAGGCCACTGGGAGCGGAAGACGGGCATGAAGCTGCCGGTGGACGGCGGCCACGCTAAAATGCTAGGTCAGCCGCGGGTTGGGGCTCTGGGGGGGGGCACCCCATAGGGTCACAACCCCCCCAAAACCCCCCCGGCCCCATAGAGACCCCCCCCAGCCCCACAGATCCCACCCCAAACCCTGTAGGTGCTCCCCCAAACCCTACAGGCACCTTCTCCAGATGTTCCCCACAACCTCCCAGCCCCACAAGTACCCCCCTCTTGGCCCCATACAGCCCCCCCCTGCCCCATATGGCCCCCCCACCTTGCAGGCCGCCCGCCCGTGGTCGTAGTACACCTCCTCTATGGCCTGGAAGTAGATGACGCCCTTCAGCTTCGTCTCCTCCTTGTCTGGGGGGGGGCAGAGATAGGGGGGTCACCCCATGGGACCAGCCCCCCATGGGGCCCCCATGTCCCTCCCATGTCCCCATATCCCACCCCAGTCCCCCCAATATCCCCCAGTATCCCCCAGTCCCCCCAATACCTCCTATGTCCCCCAATACCCCATGTCCTCATGTCCCCTCCCCAATATCCCCATGTCCCCCCAAACGTTCCCTTTTCCCTCCCAGTCCCTTCCAGTCCCTCCCAGTGCTCCCAGTTACCCCCGTAGTAGGCCAGCAGCCGGCGCCGGGGGTCGAGCAGGAACCAGCAGCGCCGCCAGGTCTTGATGCGCCCCCCCATCTTGGTGAGGGGCCCCTGGCACGCGCCCGCTGTCACCCGCACGTTCCTGCACGCCTCCGGACGGTGGCCCCGCGCCCGCAGCGCCCGCGCCAGGTCCACGCATGCCTGGGGGGGGTGAAAAATGGGGAGAATCGGTGAGAAATTGGGAAAATTGGCCCCGAAATGGGGGAGATCGGCCCCAAAATGGGGGAAATCAACCCTAAAATGGGGGAAATTGGCCTCGAAATGGAGGGAATTGACCCCAAAATGGGGGAAATAGACCCCAAAATGGGGGAAATCGACCCAAAACCGGCGGAAATTGGCCTCAGAATGGGGGAAATTGACCCAAAAATGGGGGAAATAGACCCCAAAACAGGGAAATCACCCAAAAAAATGGGAAAATTGTGCCCCAAAATAGGGGAAAATGAGCTCAGGGAAGGGGACTGGGGGCATGAAGAGTTACTGGGAGCACTTGGGTTGTAAAATGGGGGCACTGGGGAGGGAGCTGGGGGCACTGGAGATACTTGGAGCACTGGGAGCCCTACTGGGAGCACTGGGAGAAGACTTGGGGCACTGGGAGATATTGGGAGCATTGGAAGCCTTACTGGGAGAGGTTACTGGGAGCACTGGGAGCCTTACTGGGAGCACTGGGAGGGGTTACTGGGAATACTGGGAGCCTTACTGGGAGCACTGGTCTCACCTCAGGCTCAGGTGGGGTCGGAGCTGGCGCTGGAGGGGGCGTGGCCTGGGCCGGAGTGGGCGTGGCATTGACCGGAGTGGGCGTGGCCTTGGCAGCTCTCTGGGCCTCCTGCAGTGGGGGGGTGAGCCAAGCCCCGCCCCCTTCCAAGCCCCGCCCCCTCCAAGCCCCGCCCCCTGGGGCTGTGTCCCCCCTTCACTCAGGCCCCCCTTGCCCCCCCGGTATCGGAGGTATAGGACTAGGCTGCAGATGGCTAAGGCAACAAACAGAGCGTGGTCGTGGAATTCAACGAGTTCTTCTATAATGGGTGATGAGGCGTCTTGGAATCCTAGTTGGGAGTGGTTGGCCACATGAGATGCACAGGGCTTTCACCTGTGATTTAGCCTTGACCCTAACCCTAACCCTAAGCCTAACACTCTAACCCTAACCCTAACCCTAACCCTAACCCTAACCCCCTAACGATAACCCTAGGCCTAACCCTAACCCTAACCCTAACCCTAAACCAAAACCCTAACCCTAAACCCTAACCGGATTAACTCTAACCCTAACCCTAACCCTAACCCTAACCCTAACAACCCTAACCCTCGTGGGAATGTTGTGGGATCTCCTTCTCTGAGGCGCCCGAAATAGGATCCAGACCCCAGTGCGGCGAGCACACACGACACCCGGGATGGAGCCAAAGGGCCCAAGACTGAACCCGGACCCCAGTGCAGCTAGCACACACGTCGCCCAGGACCGGAGCCCAGGGTCCACATCCGGACGCCTGCCGCTCTGGACTGTCTGAATCCCCGGTCCCTGGGACTGCGTAACTCCGAGCCAGTGAATGACAGCCTCCACGTCTCGACACGGCTGGCAGTCACACCGCTTGTGGCCGGACAACCGTGTCGTAGGATCTCCTTCCCCGAGGCGCCCGAAATGGGATCCGGACCCCGGTGCGGCGAGCACACACGACACCCAGGATGGAGCCAAAGGGCTCGGTAAGCTGGATCCACACTGCCCGTGGAGGGACACTCGTGTCCTGCGATGAAATAGCGGAGCCGACCGAGGTCCAACCTTGACCTAGTGCGGCCAGCATATACATCGCCCAGGACTGGAGCGTGGGTGTTGGGAACAGACGGCTGCGGCTCCGGACAGGACAGAACCCCAGGTCCCCACGACTGCCAGCCCGCGAGGCAGCGGATGACAGCCTCACACTTCGCTGCAAGTCTGGCTCCCATGCCGCTCATGGCCGGACAACCGTGTCATGGGATCGTTGTCCCCAGTCTGCCAGAAATGGGATCCGGACCGCGGTGCGGCTAGCACACACGTCACCCAGGATTGAGCCTAGGGGTTCGGAAAGCCAGACACACGCTGCCCGTGGAGGGACACTCGTGTCCTGCCATCGCCATAGCGGAGCCGACCGAAGTCCGACCCGGACCCCAGTGCGGCTAGCACACACGTCGCCCAGGATAGGAGCGTGGGTGTTCGGGACGGACGGCTGCCGCTCCGGACAGGACAGAACCCCTGTCTCGGGGACGGACAGTTCCCGAGTGAGTGGACCACAGCCTCCTGCTTCGCGGCAAGGCTGGCACCCACACCACTTGTGGCCGGTCACCCGTGTCGTGGGATCACCTTCCTCGAGCCGCCCGAGACAGAACCCGGACCCCAGTGCAGCTAGCACACACATCGCCCAGGACCGGAGCCCAGGGTCCACATACGGACGCCTGCCGCTCTGGACAGGACTGAATCCCCGGTCCCCGGGACTGCGTAACTCCGAGCTGGTGAACAACAGCCTCCACTTCACAACACGGCTGGCAGCCACAGCGCTTATGGCCGGACAACTGTGTCAGAGGATCTCCTTCCCCGAGGCGCCCGAAATGGGATCCGGACCCCGATGCGGCGAGCACACACGACACCCAGGATGGAGCCTAGGGGTTCGGAAAGCCAGACCCACGCTGCCCGTGGAGGGACACTCGTGTCCTGCCATCGAAATAGCGGAGCCGACCGAGGTCCGACCCGGACCCCAGTGCGGCTAGCACACACATCCTTCCTTTGGGGGCAGTTTTGGATGGTCCAAAGGGGCTCGGAACGCGTTTTCTGGGGCCCGATTTTTTAAAACATCTCCGATGCTGGCTAGGGCATTGTTTCGGGTTGCTCGGAAAGAGCGAACACGGAGGGTCCAGTTGCATGTGGGGCTGCATAAATGCTCCCCTGGGGAGTTCAGTTGTACCCAGATTATAATTAACTGGCAAAAAAAAGTCCCAAAGCATTAACTTATTGTTATTTGATAAGATTTTTCTCATCAGAATGTGGGACCCTGCAGGCTGTTCATATTCCCCTATAGGTGCCAAGAGGGGTATAGGACAGAAACGTGCTCTGGGGAAGGTTTTCCCTATGGATTTTCCCTATAGAGCTCCCTGCTCTGCCCATCTGGACAAGGCAGATGAAACTGGGGAGAGTTATTGTTATTTTAACCCCATTTTTAACAGATAAATCAGAGTTTCGGGGGTAGCACTGGAAACTAACATGACATGGGGTGGAAGCACCAACGTTGGGGACAAAAAGGAACATTTTGGGGTCAAAACCGTGTGTTTTGGGGCAGATTGGAATTTCACACATAGGGTTGGTGCAGGCAGGAGAGGAAGAAAATTGATTGCAGCTGGAAATTGACAGCTTTTTTTTTTCTTTTAATTATTAGAAGAGTTTTTGCTTATTTACATGTTTATTAAGGTCAGGCTAAAAGGAACAGCTGCACACACCCCACGCAGACATCCCACCCCCAGAGGCGACAGCCTACACCCCCTGCACACCCCCCACCACAAACTGGGGGGGGGGGGGGGGAGGGGAATTTGGGGGGGGGAGTCCCGGTGGTCCCGGGGCTACTTCTTGTTGGCGTGGGCCGTGCCCACCATGCACTCGTTCACCTGGGGGGCGAACGAGGGGGGTGAGGGGGGTCCAGACCCCTAAATCTGCCCCATAACCCCCCCAAATGCCCCCCCGTATCCTAAAACTGCCCCAAAATGCCCCCAAAAGGCCCCCCACTAACCCAAATCCAACCCAAACCCACCCCAAAAGGCCCCCCCGGATCCCAAATCTCCCCATAACCCCCCCAAAAGGCACCCATATCCCAAATCTACCCCAAACCCCCCCAAACCCACCCCATAACCCCCCAAAAGCTGCCCCATAACCCCCCCAACTCACCCCCATATCTTAAATTTGCCCCATCACCCCCCAAAACCCACACCAAAACCCCCAAAATCACACCCCCATCCCAAATCCATCCCATAATACCCCAAAACCTGTCCCTAACCCTCCCAAACCTACCCCATAACCGCCAAAAACCTGTCCCCCATATCCCAAATCTTCCCTTTATCCCCACTAAATCCCCCCATTCACGCCCCCATATCCCAAACCCACCACCTAACCCCCCCCAAATCACCCCCCATATCCCAAACCTGCCCTATAATCCCCCCAAACCCACCCCAAAATCACACCATCCCGAACCTACCCCATAAACCCCCAAAACTTGTCCTGTAAACCCCAAATCCTCCCCCCATATCCCATAACCCCACTAAATCATCCCCTTATATCCCAAATCTGCCCTATAATCCCCCAAAACCTCCAAAACTTGCCGAATCACACCCCCATATCCCAAACACACCCCATAACCTCCCCCAAATCCCCCCCATGACCTCCCCCAAATCCCCCCCATGTCCAAAATCCAAAACCCATACCCTGTACCCCAAACTCACCGTATAACCCCCAAAACCTGTCCCCCATATCCCATTACTTGCCCTCCTTATCCCATAACCCTATGAAATCACCCCCTGTGCCCCAAATTTGCCCTCTAACACCCCAAACCAACCCCCCCATCCCAAACCTGCCCCTGAACCCATCCCCACGTTCTCCCCCCCGAGCACCCCCAACACATCCTACATCTCCCCCAAACTCTGCCCGCAGATTTCCCACGGCACCCCAAATCACCGTGTCCCAAAGATCCCCAAATCCACCCCAAACACCCCCCATACCATAATGTTTACCCCCCCAAAAATTCTTCCCCCAAAACCACCCCAAAACCCTCCTCCCCAGGCCCTCCCCGCTCCCTCCCTCCAAAACCATCCCCAAAAACCACCCCAAAACCCTTCCCCACCCCCACCCCAATCCAAACCCTCCCCTAAACCCCCAAAAACCCCATTATTTCCCCCAAACCTTGCTGGCAAAGCGCAGGGAGTTGAGTGACTCGGCGAAGTTCTCCTCCAGCGGCGAGATGTTGACGAACATGAGCCTGGGTGGGGGCGATCCACGGCATAGCGGGGTGTCCGAGCGGGGTGCACCCTACACCCTCGACCCTAAAACCACCCCGTCACCCTAAAAAAAAAAAACCCCGCTCACATTTTGGCGTTGCCCCTCAGCGAGTTTTGCAGCAGGTAGGTCAGCTTGCTGTTGCGGTACGGCACGTGCGGCTCCTACGGGGACAAAAATCGTTATAGGATGGGGAGGAAAGCGACAAAATTTTGGGGTCGTGGCCCCAAAATCGCTCTTTTTTCCCCCAAAAATCAGCACCTTGTTGGAGATGGCCATGATGACCAGCCCCAGCGTGGCCAGGCTGCTGTTGATGGCTTGGGTCTCGCGCAGCCGCTGCCCGCTGGCTTGGCATTTATCCAAGCGCTCGCTGCCCGCCAGGTCCACCAGGCTCAGCACCGCTGGGTTGGGGGAGGATTTCGGGTGAGGAAGAGGAGGTCGGCACCCCCCGGGGAGGAAGAAAACCCCAAAAAGAGGCGCTCACAGCTGCAGCGGAGGGCGCGGGAGGCGTTGGAGCCCTGGATGTGGAGCTGGAAGACGCAGTGGCTGCGGGACGAGCGGTCGTTGAGCGCCGTGCGCGCCACCGAGCGCTTGGAGGCGGCCGTCTGCAGCAGCCCCAGCACCTGGGGGGGGGGGGCAAATTTGGGGTTAAAAAATGGAAAAATACGTCAAACGGACTCCGAGGGGGGGTTTGGGTTTCTTACCTCGTCCTCGGAGGCCACGGGGACGCAGCGCAGGTTGGGGACGTGCAGCTCCTTGCTGGCCGAGCTGACGTGGCGGATCTCCAGCTCGCCCCCCCTGTCCCCCCCCAGCAGGTCCCGCAGCGCCTCGTTGTAGATCTCCAGGAAGCTGGCGCTGAAACTGTACTTTGGGGGGGTCAGGGGGGCGCAAAATCCCCCCAAAAAGGGGCCCCGAGTGCCTAAAGAACCACCAAAAGCCTCCAAACCCTATAAAGAACCCCAAAGAGCCCCCAAAAGAGCAGACCCAAAGTCCCCAAAGCTAAAGAAATTCCCCCCAAAACCCCACCCTAAACCCCCCCAAAAGCCCTGCTCCCCCCAAAAAAGCCCCCAAAAGCCCCCAAAGCCCTAAACCCCCCCAAAAAGCCCCCCAAATCCCTAACACCCTCCAAAAAAGCCCCAAAAAAGCCTCCAAAAGCCCTAACTCCCCCCCCAAAGAAGCCCCCAAAAGCCCTAAACCCCCCTAAAGAAGGCTCCAAAAGCCCTATATTAGCCTCCAGAAAGCCCTAACCCTCCCAAAAAGCCCCCCAAAAGCCCTAACCCCCCCAAAGAAAAGAACCCCAAGAAGCCCTAAACCCCCCAAACACCTTAAACCCCCAAAAGTCCCAAAAGGCTCAAAACCCCCTCAAAAAAAGCCCCTAAAAGACCAAATACCCCTAAAAAAAGCTCCCCAAAGCCCTAAATTAGCCCCCAAAAGCCCTAACCTCCCCCCAAAAAGCCCCCCAAAAGACCACAAAGCCCTAACCCCCCCCAAAAAAAGCCCCCAAAAGATCTAAATTAGCCTCCAGAAAGCCCTAATCCCCCTAAAAGCCTCCCAAAAGCCCTAACCTCCCCCCGAAAAGTACCCCAAGAAGCCCTAAACACCCCCCAAACACCTTAAACCCCCAAAAGGCTCAAAACCCCATCCAAAAATGCCCCTAAAAGACCTAATCCCCCCCAGAAAAAGATCTCAAAAGCCGTAATCCCCCAAAAAAGGCCTAACCCCTCAAAAAAGCCTCCCAGAAGCCCTAAGGCCCCCCCAAAAGCGCTAACACACCCAAAGAAGCCCCCAAAAGCCCTAAGCGCCGCCCAAAGAAGCCCCAAAAAGCCTTAAACCCCCCTCAAAGAAGCTCCTGAAAGCCCTAACTCCCCCCCAAAAAGCCCCCAAATCCCCCAAATAGCCCTAAACCCCCCCCCAAAAAGCCCCCAACCCCCCCCAAAACTCGGTGCCTCACCTGCCACCCTTTGTGCTCCAGCTGGCGGGCGCCCCCGAAGAGGTGCCGCACGGCGCGGGGGATCACCCCCCAACTTGTGGGGTCGGCGCCCCCCGGCCCCTCCATGGTGTAGGTTTTGCCGCTGCCCGTCTGCCCGTAGGCGAAGATGCAGACGGGGTACCCGTCCAGGGCCGACTGGGGGGGGTCAGGGGGGGTTTATAGGGCAAATGGGGGGAAAAAGGGGTCTTTTGGGGGAAAATAAGGGTCATTGGGGGGAGTTCAGGGGTAAACGGGGGCATTTGGGGTGGAAACTAGGGGGAAATGGGGCTCTTATGGGGGGGAAATGGAGGCGAAATGGGGGGGAGTTCAGGGGCAAATGGGGGCGTTTGGGGTGGAAACTGGGAGGAATGGGGGCACTTGTGGGGGAAATGGGCGGGAAATAGGGGTCTTTTGGGGGAAAACAGGGGGCAAATGGGGGCATTTGGGGTGGAAATAGGGGGAATGGGGGCACTTGTGGGGAAAATGGGGGGGAAATAGGGGTCTTTGGGGGGAGTTCAGGGGCAAATGGGGGCGTTTGGGGTGGAAACTGGGGGGAAATAGGGCTCTTTGGGGGGGGAAATAGGGTGGAAACTGGGGGGAATGGAGGCACTTGTGGGGGAAATAGGGGTCTTTGGGGGGAAATGGGGGCATTTGGGGTGGAAACTTGGGGGGAATGGGGGTACTTATGGGGGAAACGGGGAGAAACGGGGGAAATAGGGGTCTTTGGTGGGAAATGAGGGGCAAATGGGGGCATTTGGGGTGGAAATAGGGGGGAATGGGGGCACTTGTGGGGAAAATGGGCAAAATAGGGGTCTTTGGGGGGAGTTCAGGGGCAAATGGGGGTGTTTGGGGTGGAAACTAGGGGAATGGGGGCAGAAACAGGCATTTATGGGGGAAATGGGAGCACTTAGGGTGGGAAGGGGGAGCTTTGAGGTCAGTTCGGGGAGAAATGGGGAGACTCCGGGGGGAGTTCAGGGGCAAACAGGGGCCTTTGTGGTGAAGCCCCGCCTCCCCCCTCCCTCCCTGCCGGCCTACCCGGCGGGCGCGGCCACGTGACCCCCCGCGCGCCTCCCTATTGGCCGGCGCCCCGCCTCCCATCATCCTGTTGGAGTGCTCACTCCTGTCCTTGGTTGGGGCAATCTTACCTGTCCTGGAGAGCATTGGAAGCTCATCCTTACAGCTGACTTCGCAAGGGGAGAGCGGCTAAGCTTGTGCCATGGACTGGTTCCATCGCTGTGGGTTTCTGGCTAAAAGAGAGGCACCACGAGACAGAGCAGCATCCCTCTGTGAACATGGGCAACCCCTGTCTCTCTGCTCAAGAGTATCTAGCAACTCACCAAGGCTGTCCGTGTCCCATCGTCCTGATGGAGTGGTCACTCCCGTCCTACCCCAATCATGTCACTGTCCTGCTTGCAGTTAGAGCCTGGCGGGTGTGGGTTGGGGAAATCTTTCCTGTCCTGGAGAGCGCTGGAACTTCCTTCCACCTGACTTCTCAATGGGAGACAGGCCAGGATTGTGCCTTGGTCTCATCCCATCGCTGTGTGTGTCTGGCTTTAATAACAGACAGAACAAACGGAGCAGCATCCCTCTGTGAGCACAGGCAGACCCTGCCTCTGTGCCCAAGGGTCTACCAGGACTCACCGAGGCTCTCCCTGTCCCATCGTCCTCATGGAGCGGTCACTGCCCTCCTGGCCCGAGCGTGTCACCGTCCTGCTTGCTGTTAGAGGCTGGTGGGTGTGGGTTGGGGCGATCTTAATTGTCCTAGGGAGCGTTGGCAGCTCTTCCTCGCCGATGAGTGCTCGAGGGCAGAGACGCCAGGATTGTGCCGTTTCTGGCTGAAAGAGGAAAAGCACCAAACAGAGCAGCAACGGCCAGCCTGCTGGGCTTTGGTTGGGGAGATCTGAACTGTCCTAGAGAGCGCTGCAAGTTCCTAACAGCTGACTTCTCAAGGGCAGAGAGGCCAGGATTGTGCCGTGGTCTGGAGGCAATCCTGTGTGTGTCTGGCTGAAAGAGAAGAAGCACAAAACAAAGCAGCACCTCCCTGTGAGCATGGGCAGCCCCTGCCTCTCTGCTCAAGAGTATCTAGTGACTCACCGAGCCTGTCTGTGTTCCGTCTTCCTGATGCAGCATTCACTGCCGTCCTGCCCCCATTCTGTCAGCTTCCTGCTTGCTGTGGACCATCGGGGGTGTAGCTTGGGGCGATCTTACCTGTCAGGTAGAGTGTTGGGAGCTCTTCCGTCCAGCTGAGTTCTCATGGGGAGAGTGGCCAGGAGCGTGCTGTGGTTTTGTCCCATCGCTGTGTGAATCTGGCTACAAAAGGAGAAGCACCAAACGGAGCAGCATCCCCCTGAGACCACAGGCTGCCCCTACTTCTGTGCACGAGGGTCTCCAGCGACTCACCGATGCCATATCTGTTCCATCATCCTAATTGAGCGGTCACTGCACTCCTGGTCCGAGCGTGACACCACAGTGGGGAATGGCTTGGGGCTGTCTTATCTGTCCTGGAGAGTGCTGGCATCCTTTCTGGCTGAGCTCTCAAAACGAGAGAGGCCAGCAGTGTGCCGTGGTCTGCTCTCATCCCTACGCGTGTTCCTGTCTGAAAGAGGAAAAGCACCAAACAGAGCAGCATCTGTAACCATGGGCAGCGTTTGCCTGAGTGCCCAAGGGTCGCCTGCCATTCTCTGGTTCCATTGCTGTACATTACTGGCTAAAAGAGAAGCACCACGAGACAGAGCAGCATCCCTCTGTGAACACGGGGAGCCCCTGCCTCTGTGCCCAAGGGTCTCTAGTGACTCACCGAGGCTTTCCGTGTTCCGTCGTTTCCATGGAGCGGTCACTGCCATCCTAGCCTGATCGTGTCACATTCCTGCTTTCTGTGAACAGTGGTGGATGTGGGTTGGGGAGATCTTACTCTTACTGGGGAGCGCTGGAAGTTCCTTCCAGATGTCCTCTCAAAGGGAGAGTCGCCACAATTGTGCCGTGGCCTACTTCCCATCGCTGTGTGTGTCTGGCTTTAATAAGAGAAAGAACAAACGGAGCAGCATCCCCGTGTGACAAGGGGCTGACCCTGCCTCTGTGCCCAACAACCTCGAGTGTCTCACCATGTCAATCCATCTCCTGTCATCCTGATGGAGCGCTCACTCCCGTCCTGGCCCAAGCGTGTCACTGTCCTGCTTGATATGAGACCATGCTGGGGTGTGTTTTGGGGCAGTCTTACCTGTCCTGGAGAGTCTTGGCAGCTCTTCCTCCCAGAAGTCTTCTCAAGTGGAGAGAGGCCAGGATTGTGCCGTGGTCTGGTTCCATCGCTGGGTGTTTCTGGCTGAAAGAGAAGCACCAAGAGACAGAGCAGCATCCCTCTGTGAACACGGGCAGCCCCTGCCTCTCTGCCCGAGGCTTTACCGCAACTCACCGAGGCTGTCATTGTTCCGTCAACCTCATGCAGCGATCACTCCCTTTCTACCTCGATCATGTCACCGTCCTGCTTGCAGTCAGAGCCTGCTGGGTGTGTTTTGGGGCAATCTTACCTGTCCTGGAGTGTGATGGCAGCTCTTATTCAAGAAGACTTCTCAAGGGGAGAAGTCACTTCACGTTCCCTGGACAGCAGCACCAGTTTCACCTCCTCACCTTCCGTGGCATTTATTGCCATTGATATGATGCCCCTTGAGCCTCCTCCAGGCTGAACAGTCCCAGCTCTCAGCCTCTCCTCGCAGAAGAGGTGCTCCAGTCCCCTCACCATCTTGATGGCTCCACATTGGACTCTCCAGGATGTGTAGGTCTCTCTTGTACTGGGCACTCCAGAACTGGACACAGTACTGCACGTATGGCTTCAGCAGTGCTGAGGAGAGGGGAAGGATCACCTCCTCCAACCTGCTGGCAACATGCTTACCAGTGCAGCCCAGAATACCACCAGACTTCATTAGAGCAAGGTCACATTGCTGGATCATGTACAACTTCTTATCCAGCAGGATACCTGCATCCTTGTCTGCAAAGACATCTTTTAGCTGGCTGGCCCCGGTTCATGTATTTTTTCCTCCCATGATGTAGCACTTTGCACTGCTCTGAGAAATAGTTTTGAAAAGAGGTCATTCTCCACAGCTCAACAGTTCTGTGGGAACTCTGAGCAAAGCCTTGGCTTTGTTGCCTTTCAGAGGGCCCTACCAGCCAGCAGGATGCTGTGACTGTATGGTCAGGGCGATGTCTGCATCCTGCTCTCATTCTGTCAGTGCCTGTACGTCTGTGTGCGGCCTGCACCAACCACAGAGATATCTCATTGGCTGTCCCCAGCCTGCTCTCCGGGTCATGTAATTTCTCCTTAAAGTCAGACTTTAGCTCTTCATTTACAAAAATTCCCCTCGCTGTTATTGTCTAATGCTCTGGGGCTTGCCAAATGTCAGAGTGAAGAACAGGCTGTCTGATCGTGCCTGTCCACTAGTGAGGCCCAAAGCTAGCCACACCAGCCTTTCCTGAGCCTGCAAGTAAGTGTGCAGAGACACCTGTAGCAGGAAAATATCCTCAGAACAACACTCCCAGGCAAGAGGTCTCCTGAGGGTGGGACTAAACATTGTGTTCAAAACATATTCAGGCCTCACACTTGTCTTTGTGTTTCCCAAGAGGAAAAATGGACCAATGTCCGATGGTTCAATGCGCATCATTCTCCTCTCAGTACCTGACATTCACAGACTAAGCACCAAAATCCACCATGGAACTCATTAAAAGGCGGAAACTCCTAAGCAAACATATGTCTTCCATAGTTTTATTTAAGTCTTCAAGACTTGGAGAATTAATTGGAGAGCTTTCATAGTGTAGTTAAGGAGGAAGATTTCAAAAAGCACCTAATAAATGTCTCCTCTCATTTTAAAGGGTGAATTTTATTACATTTCAGTTTTGAGTATCTTTCTTCTATTGATATTAATCCAGCTCTTCTCCAATGGAGATGTCCATCGGGAGGAAAAGCAGACTCTTGCCCAGGACAAGACAAAAGTTGGGGGGCATGAAGTGGACACGAGCATTGCGGGAGGCCTCAGAATCTGGGGCCAGAGAGCTGCCGAGGTGAGGATGGGCCATTGGCATATCTCCTACGGGTAGCTGGTGGCGTCTCCAAGCGATGGACTGTGATGTCAGTGAGCAATGGATTGTGACTGCGTGGCCCTCACTGCTTATATGTGGGTGCAGAGTCCCACCCCGCCGGCTAGTGCCCGCACTCCGGCTGAGCGGTTACGTGAGGTCTGGAGTGAGGAGCGAGGTTGGCCTTGGTGCTGGTGTCGTGCCCTGGGAGTTGCTGCAGCAGCTCTCAGTGCCCTTCCCAGAGCCATCGGAGCTTCTTCCACGGTCCTGCGTCGTTTGGGCCGTCGGGAGACCCAGGAGGAGCGCTCGCAGCAGCAGAGGTGAGCACTGCAGGGACACCTCCCCCTGGGCAGCTGGAAGGGTTTCCTCCTCTGGGGACCTGCACAGCTCTTCCAGCTGCCCCTAGAGCAGCCGATGACCGTGGCCTCTTCTCTGCCTTTTGCAGCGTGACAGCTGCTGCTGCTGCTGCAGCGCTGGTGAGGAGGAGCAGCCCCTCATCCCCTGCTCCACGCAGCCCACTGCAGCAGCTGGAGAGCATGGCCACGGCACTGGAGAGCCGCTGCCCCATTTGTCTTGACACCTGGGACAACGCGGGCTACGTGATGCCATGTCTCCACCAGTTTTGCTTCCAGTGCATCCAGCAGTGGATGGAGAGCAAGCCCGAGTGCCCCCTCTGCAAGAGGAGGGTCAGCTCCATCATACACTCGGTGCGGGCAGACAACAAATTTGAGGAGGTCGTCATCCCACCGCCGGCAGAGGCATCCCTCGTGGCCCAGCCGGCTGGGAGAGCTCGTGGCCACGCAGCCACCACCGGCCCCCGTCACCACCCTGCAGCATCTGCGCCATCAGCTGCAGGGCCGGCTCTTGTGGGACGCCTCCAGCCTGAAGTCTGGGCCTCCCTTTTGCGAGACCACCCAACTCTGATCCGTCCCGTGCTGCCCTGGCTGCGCCAGGAGCTGGGGCGCATCCATGGGGCTGATCACGCGGAGGCGCAAATGGTGGAAGACCTCCTCACCTCCGCCCTGGGCCTCCTGGGGCTGGATGAAGATCGCCTGGTCCAGCTGCTGCAGCTTTCCATGGCGGACCACGCAGCCACCTTTGTGCACCAGCTCATCAGCATCACGGTGCAGCGGTGCAGCTGGGTGGCCCACCGCCTGCTGGGCCTGGAGGGCTCCCGTGCTGCCATGGGACAGGCAGGCAGCCCCGCAGCTGCCCCCAGGCCTTCTGGCTCCCGACAGGGGACTGCTGGTCCTGGTCCAGAGCCCTCCAACAACGCTGCTGGAGCCAGCACGGACCAAGTCGCGGGCAGCTCCAGTGCTGCCCTTCAAGGGGGTCCCGGCCTGCCCCCCTCCAGCCTGGTTCAGGACCCGGGGAACCAAGAAGCGCCCCAGGAGGAGACACCAGAGGCTGTGCCTGGACCCTCCACAGCAGAACAGGGCAGGGACCATCCCCAAAGGGGGCCCCGGCGAGCCCCGAAGAGGAGGGCCCCCACCTCCCAGGCCTCTTCTCCAGCAGCCAAGAAGAGGCCACCCCGCCGGCAACACTAGGGCAGCGCCCTAGGAGCTGGCAACAACAGGGCCGGGCCAGCGGATGGGGCACACGGAAGGCCCTCAGCAAATACATCTATACAATGTAGAAAATAAATCATATATATATAAAGTCTCAGTGTAGCTAACAATTTATTTGGTGGTGCCATCCACACCCCTGCTGCCATCTCCCCCTCTTCCTGCTGCTGTGCCCACCGCCTCCTCGCGTGCCCGCTGTGAGGTCTGGTGGGGTTGGGGCACGGCGATGCTGCCCTTCGCCAGGAGGGCTGGGGTGTTCGTCTCGGCGCTCCCCTCCCCTGGTGCCCGGCCCCACTGCTGCGCTCCCCCTGACAGCGCGTGCTGCCCAGCTGCAGGCCTGCAGCTCTGCAGCTGCTCCCAGCGGGCGGTTTGGTGCCAGGGGGTGCCTGGCTTCAACAAGTCCAAACAAAAGGTGCTGCACCTGTGTCAGAGCAATAGCAGGCACAAGAAGAACTCCCTGACAGCAGCCCTGTGGAGAGGGATTTGGGGGTTCTGTTGGATGAGCAGCTCGACATGAGCCAGCAGCGCGTGCTTGCAGCCCAGAAGACCAACTGCCTCCTGGGCTCCATCAAAAGCAGCGTGGCCAGCAGCGGAGGGAGGGGCTTAGCACATGCACATGCACATGCAAAAATACGGGAGGAAAAGCAGACTCTTGAGGTCTGACAGCGCGTGGACAACCTTGCTCCTCACCACCCCAACCCTGACATTTCTCTCATTGGCCACCTGGCGCTTGCATCACTTTTCCTTACACCACACTTCTGCACTGAAGTCTGCAGCTGCATGTTACAGCCCCTTTGCACCAGCTCCCACCTGCTTTCCTTAGAGACCTGGCTGCACACAGAAGGGTTTTTCCTTATTTGAAAACTAACAAGGAGAAAACATGCAGCAATTTTCCAAACAGCAAAGCAAGCTCCTCATCTCGTATGTCTGCAGTCAGGTTTACCTCACTGGTTTATCCTCACAAAAGGATGACTGTACATTAAGTATTTTATAGTGATTGATGAGAAATTCTAGGTATTAAGATTAGTATTATTCCATATGATCGTAATTCAATAATAAAAGATGAGGAGCTTGCTACAGAAACAATTAGGCAGACTGCTTACCTGTCCCAGAGAGCATTGGCAGCTTTTATTCCAGCTGACTTCTCAACGGGAGAGCAGCCAGGATTGTGCCGTGGTCTGGTCCAATCGCCGTGTGATTCTGGCTGAAAGAGAAGCAGCACCAAACGCAGCAGCATCCCTCTGTCGACACGGGCTACCCCTTCCTCTGTGCCCGAGGGCCTCCAGCGACTCACCGAGGCCGTCCTTGTCCCGTCGTCCTCATGGAGCAGTCACTGCCCTCCTGGCCCGAGCGTGACACCCTCCTGCTTTTTGGTAGAGGCAGGTGGATGTGGGTTGGGGCGATCTTACATGTACATGCCCTGGAGAGCGTTGGCAGCTCTACCGTCCAGCATAGTGCTCAAGGGCAGAGAGGCAAGGATTGTGCCGTTTCTGGCTGAAAGAGGAAAAGCAACAAATGGAGCAGCAATCCCCTGTGAGCATGGGCAGTCCCTGCCTCTCTGCTTAAGAGTATCTAGCGACTCACCGACGCTGTCTATATCCCTTCTTCCTGATGCAGCATTCACTGTCATCCTGCCCCAGTCCTGTCAGCTTCCTGCGTGGACCATCGCAGCTGGAGGTTGGGGCGATCTTACCTGTCCTATAGAGTGCTTGGAGCTCTTCTTTAAAGCACATTTCTCAAGGGGAAGGTAGCCAGGAGTGTGCTGTGGTTTGGTCCCATCGCTGTGTGAATCTGGCTGCAAAAGGAGAATCACGAAACAGAGCAGCATCCCTCTGTGAGCACAGGAAGCCCCTGCCTCTGTGCCCAAGGGTCTCTAGCGACTCACCAAAGCTGTCCCTGTTCCATCATCCTCATGGAGCAGTCACAGCCCTCCTGGCCCGAGCGTGTCACCTTCCTGCTTACTGTTAGAGGCTGGTGGGTGTGGGTTGGGGCGATTTTAATTGTCCTAGGGAGCGTTGGCAGCTCTTCCTCGCCGATGAGTGCTCGAGGGCAGAGACGCCAGGATTGTGCCGTTTCTGGCTGAAAGAGGAAAAGCACCAAACAGAGCAGCAACGGCCAGCCTGCTGGGCTTTGGTTGGGGAGATCTGAACTGTCCTAGAGAGCGCTGCAAGTTCCTAACAGCTGACTTCTCAAGGGCAGAGAGGCCAGGATTGTGCCGTGGTCTGGAGGCAATCCTGTGTGTGTCTGGCTGAAAGAGAAGAAGCACAAAACAAAGCAGCACCTCCCTGTGAGCATGGGCAGCCCCTGCCTCTCTGCTCAAGAGTATCTAGTGACTCACCGAGCCTGTCTGTGTTCCGTCTTCCTGATGCAGCATTCACTGCCGTCCTGCCCCCATTCTGTCAGCTTCCTGCTTGCTGTGGACCATCGGGGGTGTAGCTTGGGGTGATCTTACCTGTCAGGTAGAGTGTTGGGAGCTCTTCCGTCCAGCTGAGTTCTCATGGGGAGAGTGGCCAGGAGCGTGCTGTGGTTTTGTCCCATCGCTGTGTGAATCTGGCTGCAAAAGGAGAAGCACCAAACGGAGCAGCATCCCCCTGAGACCACAGGCTGCCCCTACTTCTGTGCACGAGGGTCTCCAGCGACTCACCGATGCCATATCTGTTCCATCATCCTAATTGAGCGGTCACTGCACTCCTGGTCCGAGCGTGACACCACAGTGGGGAATGGCTTGGGGCTGTCTTATCTGTCCTGGAGAGTGCTGGCATCCTTTCTGGCTGAGCTCTCAAAGCGAGAGAGGCCAGCAGTGTGCCGTGGTCTGCTCTCATCCCTAGGTGTGTTCCTGTCTGAAAGAGGAAAAGCACCAAACAGAGCAGCATCTGTAACCATGGGCAGCGTTTGCCTGAGTGCCCAAGGGTCGCCTGCCATTCTCTGGTTCCATTGCTGTACATTACTGGCTAAAAGAGAAGCACCACGAGACAGAGCAGCATCCCTCTGTGAACACGGGGAGCCCCTGCCTCTGTGCCCAAGGGTCTCTAGTGACTCACCGAGGCTTTCCGTGTTCCGTCGTTTCCATGGAGCGGTCACTGCCATCCTAGCCTGATCGTGTCACATTCCTGCTTTCTGTGAACAGTGGTGGATGTGGGTTGGGGAGATCTTACTCTTACTGGGGAGCGCTGGAAGTTCCTTCCAGATGTCCTCTCAAAGGGAGAGTCGCCACAATTGTGCCGTGGCCTGCTTCCCATCGCTCTGTGTGTCTGGCTTTAATAAGAGAAAGAACAAACGGAGCAGCATCCCCGTGTGACAAGGGGCTGACCCTGCCTCTGTGCCCAACAACCTCGAGTGTCTCACCATGTCAATCCATCTCCTGTCATCCTGATGGAGCGCTCACTCCCGTCCTGGCCCAAGCGTGTCACTGTCCTGCTTGATATGAGACCATGCTGGGGTGTGTTTTGGGGCAATCTTACCTGTCCTGGAGAGTCTTGGCAGCTCTTCCTCCCAGAAGTCTTCTCAAGTGGAGAGAGGCCAGGATTGTGCCGTGGTCTGGTTCCATCGCTGGGTGTTTCTGGCTGAAAGAGAAGCACCAAGAGACAGAGCAGCATCCCTCTGTGAACACGGGCAGCCCCTGCCTCTCTGCCCGAGGCTTTAGCGCAACTCACCGAGGCTGTCATTGTTCCGTCAACCTCATGCAGCGATCACTCCCTTTCTACCTCGATCATGTCACCGTCCTGCTTGCAGTCAGAGCCTGCTGGGTGTGTTTTGGGGCAATCTTACCTGTCCTGGAGTGTGATGGCAGCTCTTATTCAAGAAGACTTCTCAAGGGGAGAGCGGCAAGGATTTTGACATGGTCTGGTGCAATCGCCGTGAAATTCTGGCTGAAAAAGAAGAACCAACAAATGGAGAAGCATCCTCTTCAGAGCACAGGCTGCCCCTACTTCTGTGCCCGACGGTCTCCAGAGACTCACCGAGGCTGTCATTGTTCCATCATCCTGATACAGGGACCACTCCCGTCCTATCCCGATCATGTCACCGTCCTCCTTGCTGTTAGTACCCGGTGGGTGTGGGTTGGGGCAATCTTACCTGTCCTGGAGAGCGTTGGCAGCTCTTCCTTACAGCTGACTTCTCAAGGGGAGAGCGGCCAGGATTGTGCCGTGGTCTGGTTCTATCGCTCTGTGTTTCTGGCTGAAACAGAAGCACCAAGAGACAGAGCAGCATCCTTCTTAACATGGGCAGCCCCTGCCTCTGTGCCCAAGGGTCTCTAGCAACTCACCAAAGCTGTCCCTGTCCCATCGTCCTCATGGAGTGGTCACTGCCCTCCTGGACCGAGCGTGTCACCTTCCTGCTTGCTGTTAGTGCCTGGTGGGTGTGGGTTGGGAAGATCTTACCTGTCCTGGAGAGCGCTGGAACTTCCTTCCACCTGACTTCTCAATGGGAGACAAGCCAGGATTGTGCCTTGGCCTCATCCCATCGCTGTGTGTGTCTGGCTTTAATAACAGACAGAACAAACGGAGCAGCATCCCTCTGTGATCATAGGAAGACCCTGCCTCTGTGCCCAAGGGTCTACCAGGACTCACCGAGGCTCTCCCTGTCCCATCGTCCTCATGGAGCAGTCACTGCTGTCCTACCCCGATCGTGTCACCGTCCTGCTTGCAGTTAGAGCCTCGTGGGTGTGGGTTGGGGCGATCCTACCTGTCCTGGAGAGCGTTGGCAGCTCTTCTTTCCAGCTCAGTTGTCGAGGGCAGAGAGGCTAGGAGTTTGCCGTGGTCTGGTCTCATCGCTGTGTGTGTCTGGCTGAAAGAGAAGAAGCACAAATCAAAGGAGCACCTCCCTGTGACCATGGGCAGCCCCTGCCTCTCTGCTCAAGAGTATCTAGCGACTCACCGATGCTGTCCATGTCCCGTCATCCTCATGCAGAGGTCACACTTGTCCTGACCCAATCGTGTCACCGTCCTGCTTGAAGAGAGAGGAAAAAGAAGCTGACTCCCTCTGCTTGAGGTTGTGTCTGGAGCGGACACTTGAGCGGGAGGAGCAGGCAGCCGAGCAGCCTCCCCGTCAGCACGGGCAGCCGTTACAGGCCTGCCCAACCGCCCAACCGCCGCTGGGGCCAGCATTCCGGAGCCATGGCCGTCCCCAACGCTTTGTGTTGTGCCAGCCTGGGCTTTGCTCTGCCCTTGCCCCTCAGGGTGCAGCAGGCTGTGGGTTGCCATGTTCTTCAGCTTTCTCTCTGGAAAAAGGCACGTGTGGCTAGAAACATGCCTGCTGTTGTAATCCAGTTACATTTATCTGGAGTTAAAGCCAGTAGGAGGCCGGTCACTAATGGAGTTCCCCAGGGCTCACTACTAGGGCCAGTCCTCTTTAATATCTTTATCGATGATCTGAATGAGGGGATCGAGTGCACCTTCAGTGATCTTGCAGATGACTCCAAGTTAGGTGCATGTGTCGATCTGCTCGAGGGTAGGAAGGCTCTGCAGGAGGATCTGGATAGGCTGGACCAATGGGCTGAGGCCAACTGCATGAAGTTCAACAAGGCCAAGTGCCGGGTCCTCCACCTGGGGCTCAATAACCCCAAGCAGAGCTACAGGCTGGGAGATGAGTGGTTGGAGAGCTGCCAGGCGGAGAAGGACCTGGGAGTGATGGTGGCTAGTCGGCTGAATATGAGCCAGCAGTGTGCTCAGGTGGCCAGGAAGGCCAAGAGCATCCTGGCTGGAATAAGAAGCAGTGTGGCCAGCAGGGCTAGGGAAGTGATTGTCCCCCTGGACTCGGCTCTCGAGATTCTCTTCTGAAGGGTAAGCCACAGTATCTCTTTTCAAGTGTTCAGAAATTGTACTGATACAGAACGGATCATTTCCGTATCAACTCTTAGAATATGAAAAATCATGCAAATAAGCAATTGACATGCTTATGCTTTTAGTGCTGCACAAGCTAACAGTAGTCAAGTGATCTTTGGCACTGAGGCCATGTTATTTTGCAAGTTAAAGTACTAAGTTAGGTAAATGCATGTTTTTAAACACAGTTTTCTTGGTGTAAGCATGTTTTCACTCTCTATTACTTATCTTTTACTTCTATATTCTTAATCTATTTCTTCTATAGTTTTGTGTAATTTTGTTTAGTTTCTTCTCCTACATGCATTCGCTTGCATTCTGAATTACCTTTTTCCTCTCTTATGCTGTGATATACTTTTTCCTCTCTTGGACTTTTTCTTCATTGCTCTGCTGATCTAGGCACAGTTCTTTCTATATTTCAATTTGTTCTTATTTCAGCCCACAAATAACTAGATTCCATTTACTTCTGAGGAAGATATATCTCACTGCAGAAAGAAAGGAGTTCTCCGAGTAGCAAACAGATTGCACAAGAGCTAGCAAGGTCCACCCTATCTATCAGTCACTTCTGAACTAACTAGTGATGCACTGCTTCCCATGCTCTCTATCCCATGATACAGCAAAATAGAACCACTTCCACTCATCAAAGGCTCATCTCCTTCAAACAGGGATCAGTGTTACTTATGTTTCATGTGTTCATTCATGTGTCAAACACCAACATCTAGATTCCAAGATCTGTGTCCACGCTGATGGGTTCACACGGCACTCTCAGACTGTTCCATAAATCCTTAGAGCTCTTTGAAGCATGAGGCCCTCACCCTCAGACTTCGAAGTATGTTCCAATCTGGATAAACACATGTTGCCTAAATCAATCTCCCTGCACTTTGTAGTTTTACTGTAATATAATATGGTGGATTTTTTTTATTATTATTTTTCTTAATGGAAGGCTTAGAAGCAGCTGTTTTACTGACAGGAAGAATGAAAAGACGTCCCAGTTTTTCATTCCCTCTACAGCAGGTCAATCTTCATCAGCTGGCAGAATCATAATAGCCCATGCAGCTCACAGAACTGCAGTGAAATATGTCTCCGGTTAGCTAGAAAAGAGAAGGTTGGTGTGCAGATGTAGACATGGGTTATAGGGAAATATATCAAAAGAAGTGGGAAGCAACAGCTGTAAAATAAGGCAACTGGAGAGGAACAGCTGACAATAGGACACAGTGAAAGTGAGAAAGGAGGAAAGGAAGAGCGAAGCTATAAAACTGAGTTACGGAAGAATCACTTTTCTTCCGGCTTTATTCAACTAAGAAACACATATTTTTGAACTGCGCTTTTCTCAGATTAGGAAAAGTGGTAAATATATCATGTAATCAGCCATTTGGATTGTTAAGGTGCTGCCCTGTGTTTAGGCAGCAGCAGCTGAAGTGAAGATTAGACTGGTTCAAAACAGAACAGGGTGTAATTATTTCAGCCCTCTGAGCCCAGATTTGTACTTTCCATGGGCAGCTGCAAGATAGCTAGAGAGCAGCTCTCTGCCATTTACAGATAGATCAGTGATTGTTTTCCACTTCCAAAATTAGATTTATTTTTGATTAATAAGCATCCAAACTCTTCTGTATCACCCTAGCTCTGTCAGAAAAGGAGAACAATGAAGAAAAAAAAGCGGGCGGGGGGAACGACGACACGTGGTATAAGCAACCCAGACAGTAAATCAATATTCCAATTCTCAACCAGACAAAAGTTCAAAATACTGAAAGGGTGTCAGAAAGCTTCCAGGAATTTTAGTCCACACTGAAGGTATTGGCAGCCAGTGAGGACTGACAGCGTGAGTGTCTGCTTGACAAAGAAAGAACTAATCACGTGCGTCTACCATTTAAGTAACTTTCAAAGGGCAATCTGAATAAAGGAGGCAAAGGATTGAGCTTATAGGCTAACTACTGGTATACTGGTTCAAAATCCTCTGTGAAGAGAAGTTTGAGGTCTCTTACCTAAAGAGAAGGCTTAACAACCCTTCAAAATAAAGAGATTGACTTTGCAGTTTTTCACTTTCAGACTGAGATGAGAAAAGTAATTTAAAGAGTCTTAATTTTCTTTTATTGCTCAGAAGGCAGAGTTCACACAGACAAAAAAGATAAGGACTTTAACGCTTAGAGAAAGGGGCACTGAATTTGTAAATTAAGTCAATGCGGAAACCCTTTCTTTCTACACATTCAAAAAATAAAAGTGACCATAAAGGACAAAGAACAGGATGAATGTGTTTTACAAATGCTAGAAACATACATGTATGTAACAAGATTGCTGTATTAGAAACATATGTTGAGGGAAAATTATGATTACATTGGAATGACAGAGACTTGGTTAAATCAAGGTATCAACTGGGAGATAAAATTACCAAGGTATAAAGTTTGCAGATGGGTGAGGTAAAACAAAAGTAATGAGGGAGGGAGTAATTTGCGTACAGGGAGAATACCGAATAAACAGCAATAAATGACACTAGGATTTTGGCTGACACAACAGGGACTATTGGAAGTAAACTGAAGAATGAGATATGGAAAAAGTTAGTCCTTGGACCTTGCCAGAGACTTTCAGGAGAGGATGAGAAAGCATATCAGGAAATGTTTTTACAGATGAAGGAAGTCTGTATTGAATCCAGCGTAACGATCCAGTGGAGGAGTTCAATTACCTAGACATTTCCTAGGAAAATGTTAGTGGGAAAAACTACCAAGCAAGCATGATTATAAGACTAATACAGGATTGCTTCCTTACAGAATATGCTCAAAAGCCACTCAGGCCACAGGAAAAGGGTAATGTGGATATAGTGACTAGAAATAAACTAGACACGATGAATGCAATGAAAGCTGGGAGGAGTATTACAATAAACATATAGGGCAGTGCATGTGGTTGCAATGCCATTAAGACTGGGGGGGTAAGTTGCACGTGCATGTTAAATAAAATCAGACCCTTACTGAACGTTAAATAAATTAAAATTAGCCCAAAAGAATCAAGCTTCACCAAAGGAAATGCAGGGAAAGATCTGAGATATCTTTAAGAACACATTTTCAAAATACAAGTAATTCATCAGGGATGAAGCCAGAAAAAAAACCTGCAATTGTATCAGGGAAGTGTAGTGCTTTATCTAGTCCCATTCACTGAACAATAGGAAAAGAAGCATCTTGTGGCCAGTAACACGTTTGAAACAGCATTCCCCATAAATTCCCCATGACCTGTGAGCCCATCTGTTTTGCTACTGGTGCTGGAAGAAAAATGTGAGTAGATGAGAAGGGACTGCAGATGAAAAGTAGAGACTAGGTGTGAAGAGAGAAACGATACATGTTTGAATAGTTTCTCTGACATGTCCCTGTTTGCAGTGAATGAGGTTCACAAATGACCTTGCTGCCACACACAGAGCCTAATAGCCAACCTCCACAGCACATTACAGGCAGGCACTCACACCAATGTGAGGAACCTAGATTCAAGACCATATTTTGGCAAACAGAGATTGGACTCAGGAAGCTATTTCTTAAAAAATAAATAAATTAATTAAATTAAATTAAATTAAAAAGTTCATTTTATAAAAAGTAATTGCATTTATTATTTGGAAGTTTACTTCCTTGTATGGCTCAGTTTTAGCCGCTCTCCAGTTTTCTACAATTGACAGTTGACAATTTGTACGACTGGCCATTGCATGGACTTTTAATAATAACAACCACTAATAACAACAACAAAGTATGTGTGAGTTTTATTGATCTAAAAGTCAGTTTCCATACAGTTTTATCCCTGCATCTGCCTCTGGATCTGTAGATTTTGCATGTCCAACTTTTAAGTCAAAGTTTGATATAAAATTCTGGTTCTCTAAGTAGCTTCTAAAGGTCTCAAGCTCATCACCAAGTTGATGATTAAACAGAAAAAGCAGTATGTAATCCTTTCCCTGAAAGGAACAGTATTTTAGGGGAAAAATAGCAAGGAGTAGATACATGCATAAACATCACAGGTCACAGTATGGCCAGCTGGATTGCTATGTCGCCTGACGTGTGGGTATGTGTACTCTGCCTTGCTTTTCTCCTTACACAGTGTGGTGATTTTACTCAGGTGGGCAGACAAGCTCCACCACAACCGCTCTCTCACTCCCCCTCCTCAAAGAGGAACAGGGAGAAAACACAAGCAAAAGGGCTCAAGGGTTGAGATAAGGACAGGGAGGACGCGCAGTAATTATTGTGACTGGTAAAACAGACTCAGCATAGGGGGACAGTAAGACTTACTGCCTATTCCTACGCAGCTAGAAAAGCGAGAAACAAAGGAAAGAAACCAAAAGCACCTATCCCCCCATCCACCCTCTTCCACCTCCTCCCCCCGAGTAGCGCAGGGGAGTGGGGGAATGGGGGTTTCGGTCAGTCTAGAGCGCTTCTCCACCACTCCTTCTCAATCACTCTTGTCCCCTGTGCTGTGGGGTCCCTCCCACAGGATGCAGGCCTTGCTGAACTGACCTGGCGTGGGCTTCCCACAGGCAGCAGCTCTTCCAGAACTGCTCCCACATGGCTTCATACCATGGGGTCCATCCCTCAGGAGCAGACTGCTCCAGCACAGGTCCCCCACGGGCAGCAGCTCCTACCAGGTCACCTGCTCCTGCGTGGGCTCCTCCACGGGCTGCAGCGTGGAACCCTGCTCCACCGTGGTACTCCATGGGCTGCAGGGGGACAGCCTGCTTCACCATGGGCCTCACCACAGGC